TTTTTTTTTCGGTTTTGACCTTCAATTAGCATTTTTTATCTGATCTTAATTCTAGTTTAATGGGGTTTTTATGTAATAATATTAAAATGGTGGGATAAAATAGGTATATTACTTCGAAATGAAAAAAATGGGTTAATTTCACTTAATTGGAGAGATGAGTGCAGCCTGGCGGGTTCAACGGGCCAAGCGGGCCAAACGGGCCAAACGGGTTCAACAGGCTTACCGGGTCTGAACCGGCCAAATGTTAAAACGGGTTGAGGAAGGTATCCGGCCCGTTTTCAAGTCTGGGTCCAGTTGAACCGATCCAACCGACCGGGCCGGGCCGGGCCAGGTATTAAAACAGTGTCTAAAAGTATAAATTAGAAAAACCAAAAATAAAAATCCAAATATTTACTACTATTTACCATTAAAGAATTCGATTATTTATTACGTTGCAACTTAGGTCAGCAATCAGGATTAATGGGCCTTCTTTTCGGCCAGAATAATGGGCCCAAAATGTATTGTTGTTACTTTAAACCCCAATTGCATCCCTCAACTATTATACAAACTTTTGAATTGGTTTTTAAATTAAAAAAAATTCTTAATTTAATCCCTAAAGTTTTTAAATTTAGCTTCAAATTAATCCTTTCGTTAAAAAACAATTAATGTGTCCTTTACTTGATAGCAAAAACCATTACTTAACAATCATATATTATGTTAATAACGAGATATGTTAGTAACAAAATACGTTAGTAACAAGATAAGTTAAATTTTTTTTTTAACAAAAAGACTAATTAAAAACTAAATTTAAAATTTTTTTAAATCAAATCATGAATTTTTTTTCAAGGATCAATTTAAAAGTTTGTATAATAGTTGATGAACCAAATTAGAGTTTTAACCTTGTTGTTACTTGTTATGGGTTTACTTCGATTTTTAGGTTTTTTTTACAAAGAATGATAGAATATACAAAAGGGTTTCCCTTGCATCTTCCTAAATTCATTTTCATCTATTTTAAATGTAAGATTTCTAACTTAAAATATCAAATTTTTAGTCAATTAATTTAGCATCTAGGGATGCTTTAATTTAATTTTTTTGATGACTCTCAATCTCAATGTTGATAATTTGCTTTTGACCTAATAAAAAATATTAATTATTTTTGGCACACTAAAAAGCGAACCTAAATATCACATCTCTTTTTCATTTAAAGTTTGAAGCCAAAATTTTAGGATGGAAGTCGGCATCTCTTTAAGAACATTTTTGGACCTTTTTGTGAATGAATAAACTAGTCACAAAAATTAAAATCATAATGTACTATTGATTTTTTTTTTTTTTACATCAAATGATCAAATAAACAATAAGAAATAACTATTTCCTTCCCAAATCCTTTTACATCAAATGATCAAATAAACAATAAGAAATAACTATTTCCTTCCCAAATCCTTTCTCACTTATCTTAATATTCGAATTTGAGATTTTTAACATAAAAACTCAAATTCCTAACCATTTGGACATCCCCCAAAGGATATGTACTATTGATTAATTCACCGTGAGACATATATGCTTACAAACTTGATAAATATTTCTAATACACATCAATCACAATCACATAGACTACCCCGTTTTCCTAAAATTAAATACCAAATATTTCCCTACTGCCGCTCTCAGTAAATCTTCCTTACGTAAATCCAAGAAAATGAATACCCATGAAAAGAAAGAAAAACCATACAAGAATAATTAATTCATACCCCACTTTTTGATACCTTAATAAAGGTATATCAAAAAGTAAAGTATGAAAGCTTGACCATATGCTCGTATAGTATGGAAAGAATCCCAAATTAATCAGTCAAACAAATTCCTTAGTGCATTTTTCTTGGCACATTGTTGAGGTAACAAGACCTTGTGGTTATCCCTTTGAACAGTAGTGATGATTACTTGGTCAGAGGCTGTAGTGACTGATTCAACAGTGCTGCCTACTATCAGCCCCTGCTTTTGCATGTATTCCCATTTATCTTGGAAGAGGTAAAAGAAAGCAACGATAGAGACCTGAATTGTGAAAAGAATGGTCCATAGCCTTGCCCCTCTTGATGTTTTCTCATGATAGGCCTCTAAGCCAGTGTAGATGTTAATGATCCCCACCAGGGATGTTATTGTTCCTAGTATCCAATGCACCAAGTACCACGCACTTCTTCTTTTACTTCCTCTGCAAGAAAAAAGAGGAATAAGTTAGGAATATTGACTCTATACCCGCTCCATGTGAGTGTGTAATTGTTGCAAATGAAAAATGGTGGGGGGGAAAAGAGAAGAGAAATTGTTCATTACCTTGCAGGTCTGAGGAATCCTATCAAGGCTTGAAGCCACATAGCAGCATAAAGAGCAAGGCCTAATCTTTGGTGGCTGTTATTGAAGGAATTCTCAAAACTTCTCAAGGACATGACTGCTCCAATAGTTGCAAGAAGCACTGCATTTATCTTTCTCATGTGGAAAAAAATATATCAGATCTCAGTGAAAAAGATGGATTGGAAACCATTTGTTTAATTTGGTTCAGTGACTAAAGCACCGGCAAAGATCACAAGAAGCAGTATGCTTGTACTATAAATTAATGATAATTTGTTGGCAATTGGCATACACTATTATAGCAGAAGAGACACATGGAGATCAGAAAATTAGCCTAATCACTCCCATCCCTTCCTCTTCAAGCATTCATGATAAATATGATTAAGTTAGTTTAAATCAGCTAAGGAAAATCTTTAGCTATTATTAGACAGAGGGGATTAGGAATATTTAATAGAAAAATAGAGACAGAATCATTAAGATCAAAGAAATAACTAGTTCTTGTAATGATCAGCCCTAGTGGCTAAAAAGAACAATTTGGTCATATACGAATTATGGTCCCAATACTTCCTGAAATGGGGATGTCTAAACATCAAAGGAAAATTTGCAGAAAAAGATCAGAGATGGGAATGCAATATACTACCTGCAATATAACATGGAGATAGAAGAGTACTCTGGCCCTTGTCCCTCTTTCTTCTGATGATCTATTGGACATCCTAATCAAAAGTATCCCAAGAGGCATTAAGAACCCCATGGAAGCCCAGAGGAGGAAACCATGAACTTTAATACTAGATGTCATCTGAGGACTCAACTGCAATATTTCCCAAAAGAAACCCTTAACAAGAAGAAGAAGAAGAATAGGGGAAAGTAAAGTTGAGAATGAAAAATGGTATTACCTTATGAAGGTTTTCTTTTATCCTCTTGAAATTGCCTGACTCTTCAGTACTGACATGCTCTACATGCAGTGAGCAGCCCACAAATGGTAAGACAAAAACAAAGCAAACAGAGCCTAGCAAGTAAGAAGCAAATTGAACCATTCTCAAATTTCAGAGAAAATTCACAAACCCTTCTCCCCCTCGCCTTTCCCCTCTCAAAATCTCAGCCTATTTATCTTCTTCGTGAAGAAAAAGGGAGACCCACAAAACCATAGATATACTAATTTAAGTAGCAATTAGATTTCATACTAGCATTGCAGAGAAAAATAATACAAAGGAGTCAGAGTTCCAGAGACTGCATTTTCTTTTTGTATAAAGAAGCTGATGTATCATGATTACTGAATACATTAAAAGGAGCTAAGATAATATTAGCTGCCATTCTTTGGACGGTAATGGGTTCAGAAGCTGTGGGCTGGTAATGGTGGTTGCAGGGGAAGATTATTATATGAAAAAGGCTATATAGAAGTCATGAAGTGGTGATTTAAAAGTTTCAACTGTGGGGTTTAAAATGTTGGGACTTTTTGGGCGCAGAAAATGGGCTAAAGATTGCAGAATGGAAAAAAAAGGGGGTCAAGATATTAATGGATGAAGGACGGTGCCGTGGAAGCAGAGGATTTCTTTGTTCAATATTAACTCACTTTTATACACTCAATTAAGTATGTTTACTTCATCAAATGGAAATCACAATTAGACTACTTGATATGATCAGCAAAATTAATACAATAACCATTTAACACAACTCATGTATAACAACAATTTAACACAAATTCAACATGATACAAACACAACTGAACTCGTTTAATTATATGGACTAAACGGATAACATCTTTGCTAATAGGGCGAACCTCTTAACGTTTTCTCTTTAATCTAATCCGTGATATGGTACTATTACTCCCCTTTATTACTATTATTAGGTGTAATAGTCACAGAAGCAATTGAGCACTACACTTGATTTCTTCAGTTTCATGATAATGTCCGAAACAAAGCGAAGCAAGGACGACAAACGATTGACGTGGTAGTCGATAATGTTTGACCATACATGTATGTCTTCAACAAAATTTTCAAAAAGAATGTACTCAAAAACCCAAAGAAACAAACTCTAAATACAAGGGGTGATGTTAACAAATTACCAAGCACCCAACGAGCCGTGGCTTCTGGGTTAAGAGAGTTTGTTTTCATTTTATTGATTAAAATTTAATTTTTTAATAAGGTTAATAAAAAATATTTTTTAATGAATTCTTTAATTTTAGAATGAACAACTTGTTTTTTATCAAGATAAGTGTTAATTGACTTAGAAACATAGTTTTCATTACCTACATAAAAATATAAATTTAAGATAATTTTATGTTATTTTGAAACAAAACTCATGACTTATTTAGTTGTAAGTCTCATTATTATTTTTTGTAAGTCTTATTATTATTCTTTGAAATTTACCCATAAAACTCCAAATGCTCAATAGTCTACCCATAAAACTCCAAATGCTCAATAGAAAGGGAGTTTCTCTTCATCCAAGAGAAGCAAATTATCAATCGCAGAATGAAAATTTTCTTTGAGAATTGGATGCAAACATGCAATTGATATTGAAAAGGAGATTCCTCGCACTGAGAAGATGCTGAAAGGTAATGAAAGAGCAAAAGTAAACATCGTTTGGTTTTTTCACCCCCTCCTCTAGATAATGGGATTGGAGCTTTTAGCAAAGTCATAGCAATGATTACCACAGCATTATGTTCAATGAGGAATTGTTTAAAAGACGAAAGGTATCATCAAGTTTTGGTAGCCAGTCAGAATCAATCCTTATTGTCCCTTTTGTAATGGAAAAGCAAAAGTCCATTTTAATGCGTCCAACGGTTTAACCCTAAGGATGTTAATTCTTACGTGAAACATCAAACGCCTAATTCCCATGCTACAAATGTCAACCCCAAATTGGGACCGAAGTCACCAAACAGCTTTACCTTTTTATTTTCTGATGGCAACTTCAGGCAAAACCTTATCTAAAGCCTTTGATCTTACCTCATTTTTGCTTATAAGCTTGTAAACTTTTCTTTAGCCCAAAAAAACCCACAAACTCAGAAAAGTTATTCACATGGTTAAAAACTGAGTAAAAACCCATCAACTACGTAACCCTTTCCCATTAAAACCCAACCCGTAAATTTTCTCCAACAAAACTTTCCCTCTTTATGAGGATTGGTTTCATGTCGTGGTGCTCACAATCACACTGATAACAATATGGATAGCCCAAAAGGCAAAAGCAAAGGACATCCCCATATTGTCTTTGTTATGGAAGAATTTTGAGACGCTGTGATAATCGGCATTCGAATCTCATTAATGGCGGAATTTGGCCCTCCCCTCCTGAATATTCAAAGGGAATGCCACATAATCCCTTCGTGACAAAGAAATCTAGTAATTGCTCTGCTCTGCGTTGGGCTTCTTCGGGTTACTCACTGTGACTGCAAGCACCCTCGTTGGCGAACCAATCTTCAGAAAGGGAGAAGTTTTAGTTTGGAGAATTTTAGGGGATTAAGTTTCATTGGAGCAGGGTTTTCCAGTCGGTTTCAGCATAGGATTCAACAGACGTAGAAGAAACGGCAACAAATTACCCCGTTCTAGATCGGTTTAAGAAAGAAAAAAAAAAAAAAAGGGATTATGTAGGGCTTATAAGGTTGGTTTAGAGGTTTAGTAATGATTTCTAGATCGAATATTGAATGGCTTATCTACACCGAACAACAGAATAATGATTTTCTAATCTCTATTGAAATAAGGATGTTATGGGCTAAGTACGGAGAGGTAAATCCGCTCGCAATCAAGATAAACAAACGAAAGCAAGGTTTTAGAACAAATAATTATACAAATAATTAACACCCTACCAAACATAACGAAATGATAAGGGTTACAGTATAACTTGATAAAAGCACCGTAAGAGCTTTTCTTTCTAGTAGGTCCATCCAAAAAACTGACATTTTAGTTGCCTGATACATTAATTATGGCTAAAACCAGCTCCAAGTGGGTGATGAAGGGACCTTCCTCATCATCCAAAAAAAATGAAATCTTCAGATTCAAGGTTACTAACATGCTCCAACAGGAAATTTACCTCATCATATTAACCTTGGAGCAAGAAGAAATATTTTTTCTTTTTCTTTTTTGTTTTTTTTGTTTTATCAAACTGAATAAAAAAAATTTTTATCACTAACAAGTCCGCATAAAAAGGCATCAGAAATTTGAGAAAGAATATGAGGTCTCAAGTCAGGATATAGCCTGCTTGACTAATCTTCAGAAATTTTATCAAATGACTAGAAATTTAATCTCATAACAAGGATTTTTCATGATAAAGGAGAAAAGATAATAGCAAACATGCCACCATTAAGGGTAAACAGAACAATTTGAAAGGCAGAAATACAACCTGTCTGACAAGTGATAACCTAGAATTCTCAAACAAAAACAAATTTCGATCATCGACTGATATAAGTTCTCTCCAAAATCTCAGAATCAGAATCACAATTACCTCTTCCATCTGCTGAGAAGTTACATAAACAAATTGGGCCTTGATGCCTTGTAGGTTGTCTTGAGTTTTCTGGTTGGTGGCCTAACCTTCTTGAACACCAAAGGGAACTTGATTTTGGAGTCATGGAACTGCTTGGTGCTCTCCCTCTTGCATAGCTTGGCTGGAATGGTAGCAGTCTTGATAATCTGGATGCAAGGAAACCTGACCCTGTGACGAGAAGCCATCTCGTTGTACATCTGTTCCACGGCACCATTTAGAGTGGTGTCTCGGTATTCCTTGTACATGTTATGGTAACCAGTACGACTTTGATAACGCAGCCAGATGCCATAGTTCTTTATCTTGGTTGGGTTCTTCTCAAAAATCTGCAGCAAATTGAAGTCAGCAAATGACCTTCATAGCATTAATACAAGATTAGTTTCTAGAGGCGGTGAGGTTTTGTTTGGGTTCTGACAGTTTGCAACGGCATAGTACATACTTAAAATCACTTGCTTTCTCATGATATATTTTGCAGTTCAACTCATCCAGAATTATTAGACCAACCCAATTATCTTAACATGAGCCATACAGACCAAATACCTCCTGACCAAAGAAATCTGAATTACCATTTTAAAAGGGTAACAGGATGCATGTCCAGAAACTTACTGATGGTGAACAAAACTGATTAACATACCAGCTAATGAGCATAACGAAAACTCACATCACAAACAAATTGGACTATAAGATTTCCACTATAAACCTACAGATGCATGTCTAAGCAGAATTAGAAAAAAGACTTTAACCACCAAATCAAATGTAAAGGACAATATTCTCCAAACTTAGATCGCAGGAACTTTTGGCAAATGTCTAAAAATGCTCCAATTAACAATCAACACGGGATGTGCGGCAACAACAAGACCACCTACCTCATTGATAGCAAGCACTTGGCCATTGCTTTTCTTAACCTTCTTCAGCTTTCTCAGGAAATACCTGATTAAATTTTGAAATCAATCAATAAAGAGGAAAACAACCAAAACAGTTATTGAAGAATTCGAAGATCAGGATCAAACCACTCACCAGAACTTGGACTTGGCACGAACCTCATTCGTGGCCCAGAGCTTCATCCTGTAAATCTTTGGATGCTCATCTGCTTCAGATGGCAGAGCCCTCCCAACAACCTGGTACTGATGAAACTGCATACACAACCAACCAAACAATCCACGCAAGTAAAAACCACAAGAACCAAAATCAAGAAAAAGTCCATCTAATCACAGCCTCTTCCCTAGAAACCAAAACCATAACTTTAACACAAACAATCCTAATTGCTTTGAGCGAAAATCAAGAACACATACAGATAAACCTAAGCCCTAGAACCTGAAACAATGGAATGACGATCTGAGGAGATAGACTTACTCTGAAGGTAACCATTTCTGAGGAATCCGGAGATCGTCGTAGCCTCTTACTCAGCCGTCTCGCTCTCCCTCGAATGGGCGGTGTTAGGGTTTTGTTTCATTTATATAGAGTTTGAGTTTGAGGTACCCTAGGCCCGAATGTAGGCGTGGTTTCGGGTTGGGTTGGTCTATTTTTCTTAATTAACCTTTTTCAGCCCACAGTTCTATTGGGCTTAGTCCTAGATTGTTGGCCTCTTTTAGACCTGAAGTTGTTGCTGCTTTTTAAGGCCCGTTTCACTTTGTTAGATTTTTAATTTGTTTATGCTATGACTATCCTTCTTTTTTTCTTTCTTTTTTTTTTTTTTTTCTTTTCCTCTACAATCTACTCCATACAAAAATAATATAAATTATAAGCAAACCATTATATATAAGAATTGTTATTATCACATCAATTTAGTTCCATTAGAATGAAAAAGTAAGTTAAAGTCTTAGGGCCAATATTTAAAGAAATTAATTTCTTTAAAACCAAATGTATTAAAGACAAACCAAAAGCATTCCTGTGATTAAATGCCATAAAAATTATAATAAAATTATTTAACTTCCCAAAATATATACAAGAAGTACAAAGTTTAATGTATCTTCGTTCAAAATGGTCCAATCAATATTACCTTCAGTTTATGTTCAAAAAGGAAAAATATGAGTATTTACACTTGCTAATTCAATGCTAGGCAGCTATGCAGTGAATAAATTCTGTAATCTCTTCAGAAGAAAGACTTGGTAATGAAGATGCATTTGCATTATAAATTAGAATAAGGTTTCTTCAAATTGAGATTACAACCCATTATCATGGCATTCCATGACTGTACACTTAGTTTCAATGTTATATTTACCTCACCAAGCATGAGCTCCCTTTGTTACGCCAAAAGTAACAGCTATCATAGCAAGAATAGACTGCAAAAGTAGGACAGCAAGTACGAAAAGGAAATGAGAAAATATTAATAGAGAACAATCAATGTACAACATATAGGTTCACATTTGGCTGACAAAAAAAATTATACACAATATATAGGTCCAGGCTTCTTATAAACTGAAAATGTCATAATCATTGATTTCCAAGAAACAAAAAATGGATGCCAAACACTCAAGAGCAGTAAAAACTCTTAATGCAGATCAACACTAAGTGGTGAAGAAATACTTCTATCAATGCATAAACATTAGCAAGCATCTTCATAAGAGTAACAGCACAGGCATATCGGATGCAGACCAGTGGCGTAGCCAGAAATTTTTCGTAGGGGAGGCCAAATGAATTTTTGAAAAAAAGACATCGTCTTTGCATTGATTAAAAGGTCAATGAAATGGAAAAATTTTAACAAAAAAGTTATTTTAAATTAACATTTGTTAGTCTTTATTGATAAACTAATATCGATTGCAAGTATGGTATTATATATATGACATCAACTGAAAGATAAAATAAACATATATTAAATACATAGAAGAATACTAATAAACAAAAAAACAAAAGTAGAATGGTATTAATGAAAAAAAAAGTCTTAATAAATAACTATTTTATAAAAGGATAATATTGAACAACTTCGTATTCTATTAATCTTTATTTTTTATCATATTTAATTTTATCTTTATTTTCCTCATTTTTCTCATAATCACCAAAACTAATGTTTGAAAGAACAAGGGTTAAAAATAATTAAAATGTATAAAATAAACAAGGATTGAGATAATAAAAATATTAAAGGACCAAAATTTTTATTTTTTATTTTTTAAGTTTAGGGGGGGCTGTGCACAGCAGTATTTGTTGCCTTAACCGAGTACAATAAGAGACAACGGGTGGTAAAACTACTCACCACAATAATGGTTGTGGAAAGCATGTAAAAGGACCCAATATGTTCAGCATGGAAAAGGAGCAAACATTAGCAATGCTGATCATATTTATTAAACATTATCTCCATGTGCACAAATGAAACGTGGAAACCACTCATATGCAAATTGAAGAAGTTGCACGTTCAGTTGTCAGCAATATAACAACAAAAGAGATAAAAGAGAAAACATTGCTGCATAAAGGCTCTGAGGGAGACTACCACCCAAACTCTCAATCACAAAAACCACTAAAAAAATATAAACCGTCAAGTAAAACACAACCCTTGGAAGTACTTTCTAAAATCCAAATCTGAAATCATATGTCCATAACCACAAGTCTTAGGAACCAAATCTAATAGCTCACTCAATTTAGTGATGGCAAAGTATCTATAAATTGGAAGGAACCTAGCCTTCACTCACACCCTTTAGCTCTTTATGACTGGTCATAGAAAAGGCCATGAAGCTCTTACGGACTTTCTAAACACCTATAGTAAAATAGAGCTGTCAATTGAATATAAGATACCAGTCCATGACGCAAATAGTTAGTCACAAATACAAGATGACAACTAAATCCCTATTTCCAAGACAATGAGATAAGGAGAAAAATAAACGACTACTGCTATAGCTTGCGTCCATGAAAACTACTTTGAAGTTTGAATCACTAAATTAGGCAAGAAAAAATGATACCGTAGCACTAAGCACAAAAATGAGTAAGAAATGAATGATAGACAATTGAAACTTACCGCTATAGCACATGCAACATATCCAGGTTTTTCTCTATAGTCCACACGTACGCACAGAAGGATAAAAGTTCCAAGGTACCAGGGAATACCACCAAAGAAGAAACCCAGGAAAAACCTAGCAAAGACAGTAAACTGATATGAATCTTTAACACCCTTTCAAATTGTTGCTCATAAACTTAATGTATAGAAATCATAAATCAAGGGATTTAAGAGAACAAATCGGAGCTTACAACAACCAGCCCATCCCAAGACCACAAAAAGGAAGGCGATGCTCTATCACAAATGTGTCTTCAGGAATGGGATAACCTTAAACAACATAAAATTCCAACCAAAGAGTAAGAACTTAGCAATCAAATTCTAGAAAAAAATCAAACACAGTGCTAGAAATTATCATCAAAGACAGTCAAATAGAACCAATAAAAATGTCCGATTAACAGTTCTGGATGTTCCATAATCATAATTAGCAAGAAATGGAAATGCAATGACCCAACCAAGCAAACTACAATCCTCAATTAACTAACAAAACAAAACAATTCATTAGAAAAATTATCAAAATGAAATCAAGCATCATTTCTGCCTAGAATTTGAGAAACAAAAGACATATGTAATTATATTCAGTATTCAGGAAATTATGCGCTTGTTTACCCGAAACGGTTTGATAACCATGGAAAGGGACGCTGGTGCTGGCGGAGCCGGAAGGCACAACAGGACGAGGAAAGCCAACGACCGGCTGGGGAAGTGGTTGAGGGAAAGGAGGGTAGTAGTTGGCGACGCCTTGAAACGTGCCATAATGGTACTGGCTCCGGGGGTCGCCGCGCGGGACTACATTTTTCCATTCTCCGCTCATCTTTTTTCTTCAATTCTTTTTTTTTCTTTCCCTCTCTTCCCTCAAGGATTTCGAGTTAGAGTTGGCTTCCAAAAAAGAGGAAGAAGAAGAAGATCAACGGCGGAGTGGTTATTTCGGTTGAGAATTGGCGGTGTCCGGAGGACGGTAGTTAATGGAGCTGGCAATTACAATATTTTTGGTCTGTTCGGATTTGGGCTGGCTGTTAAGCACTTGGTCTTGGGTTTATTGTTTTGGGCTGAGCTGGTTTCTTCCTTGTTGGATTGGGCCGGTATTTTCTTTAGAGTAGAGACCCCACATTACACAATTCTATTTCTTCCTCCAACGCCAATCACTCATTTAATTTTTCTTCAATCTCAAAAAAAAAAAAAAAAATGATAATGAATATTGATGTTCTTTTGGGCAATTATACTTTAGAATGCTAGATTGCTTGTAACATTATTTTTTTAACTCTCTTTTCCATACTTTCTAAATATTTAATCCACATAATAAGGTTTTTTTTTTTTTTTTTTGTTATTGATCTATGTATTTGTTTGGGCAGCTTCACAAGATCTAGTTGACACAAGCTGACCAGCATAGAGACCTGCAAAACAAACTCGAGAGTTGTTCCTTGGGATAAACTCTTCGACGCCCAAGTTAGCAATATTCCATACTTGGGGCTCTCTTTAGAGAGAGAAATATAGTACAGAAAGAAGAACTCTCAGAAAAGTTCCTACCTTTGAGGGGTGTGGAGATATTTATAGATCCCTTAGAAGTGTTTTACACGTATTGCACTTCTATCGGTCCATTTGGATTCATTTCAATGTATATGAGCTCCATTGTGACTCATGGATGTACTCATTTGTATTTGGGCTTTATGGGCTTTTATTTCATTTA